TGCGAGAGATTCTATTAGAAGTTAATATATATAAGAGAATTTTTAATATAATTTTAATATACAGAATTTATTTTATAACTTGATATTAATTGGGTTAATATTAACAGAGGTCTTCTGTATAACAATTTAGTATCATATTTGGAGTCTTATTCAATGATTACTTATTAGAGATCATAATATTAATTTCAATTTTCTCATATAATAAATTTACTTTTTAGGATGCGTGATATTTTTGAGACCAAATATTTACTATCTGCGTCTAATAGTAACCAGAATATTAGCAAGACCATAAAATCAACTACATGATCAATGTTGGATATAAACTTTGATGAAGATGACAAAAACCTTGATGAACTTGAATACTATATTTCAGAGAGGCCAGGAATAGGGATATTGATGTGTTGGCCTGGTGGAAGGTAACTAAAAGTAAATGTAAGTTTATTAAATAGTATATTAATTTTAATATACTGTAATATGTAATAGGCACACCAAATACAGTTTCTTGTCTCTCCTGTATGGCTCATGACTACTTGGCAATCCCTGCAGCCTCTGCTGCTTCTGAACGTGCTTTTTCTGCAGGTGGAAACATGATTATAAACAAAAGATCCAGTTTGACACCTAAAACCGTAAGAATAGCACAATGTCTTCGCTCATGGGCTCAGGGACCATTGAAAGGGAAGTTAGACGATCTAGAATAATAAAGTAAGCTCTTATTAGTTAAATAGATAAATAAATAATGCTATCTTAATTTCTAATAAATACACCAATTTTTAGGCTCATATATTACTTTTTTTCAATAATCAAATAATTTGAGCACTTATATATCAATGAAATCAATTAGTATTAAATAGCTTTTTTTTTCTTTTTACTATAAATATAAATTTGACAAACTATTTTATATTAAAAGATATTTTAATATTCATATAGAAATATATATTGTTTCATTAACATTAAAAAAAAAAAAGAAATATATATTGTTGACCTCAAACTAATTAGAATAATAACAATTGAATGCTTTATACAGCAGAAACATCCAAATATAGAAGTGATTTTTATACTAAATTCTCATTGTTATAACCAATCAAAATAGTATAACATGATTAATCGATCAATCAAATTACTGATTTACAAAATTTTGAGATTCATAGAGATTCAAGAAGTATGTTAGTAATAATAATAAGATACATTGGGAATTAGCAGAAATAAAGTTTTCACTTATTCACATATGGTCAGGATATTATTAGTTAATCCTCCCGTGATCTTGATATAATGATCGGGGGATTATAAAGCAAATTATGTGCTTCTATTTTTTTAAAAAAGTTTTTACATTTCTTAGAAGGATAAAGCACATGAGCCTTTCAAAAAAGTATTATAAAATATAAAAACATTCATTATCAATTGTGTAACAACTCTGTATAACATCTATTGTCTCTGCTATAAATGCCTTATGTTTATTTATATGTTGTGGTAATAACCAAACCTCTATGTATTATGCATATGGTATATTTAGCTTCAAAGGTTGAAATTCAATCGTGGACTTGGTTCACGATGCCATGTGAGCATGTAATGAATGCCATGTAATGATCTGGGTAATAAGTGCATACAGTGATTTTATATATGTGTAATCTATTGTAGTTTGTATGTTATAAAAGTAGAGTCTATGTGGTTTGTGCGTTATCTTGCATTAAAAATGTAGTTATTGATTTTTTTTGGTTTGATGAAACCAATTTGTAGTTAGATAAAATAAATTAGATATAAATAGAATAAAGGCAAAGTTAGTTCTCTTTCTTATTATCAAATAAACTTGAAATAAAGAATATACAAACCCTTTCGCTCTTTTAAAGGTCATACTTGTGCTTCATAAAGGTGATAACGTTGTTACAAAGCTAAAGTAAGGTGTCGTCCAATGCTGTGTATTCATTGACGAATCTGAATTAACCCCGAATTAAGCTAGATCAAAACTCCAGTACAGCACCTGGTGTGTACCCACTAGATAGTATAACTAAATTCACAAGAGGTTTTGAATAATTTGCTTTTATGAAAGAGACTACAGCTAGATCTAATTTACAATATCATGTGGTTAGTTGGTAAAAATTGTTAAGAATCTATAAAGACAAATTTTTGAGATCAAGTAATATGAATTTGGATCTTTATTTAGAATAATAACTATTGAATACTTCGTATTTGTGTTGTTATGACCAGGGAAGAGACTTTATAGCAACAAGCCAATTTAGCTTAGAGTCATAAGCATTAAAAGGAATAAACAAATATTTTATTATCACACACAAGGCACCAAAAAATACTTATAATATATCCTAACAGTGCACCCGGTACACTATTAGCCTTTTCAAAATACTAGCACACAAATCTCTAATTCACAAAACTAAGAACTAAATACAAAAACTACTAACTAAGTAGTGTTCTATAACCTCTATTTATATCTACTATTAGACTCTAATTAGACTATCATGCAAACTATAAAATATGAGCTTATTCGAAAATATTGTAATGATCGACAAAATATACTATAGAAATTACTTCGATCATTACTTAACTATAAACTAAACTATTGAAATATTACACAAGCGAATTGCTAAGAATCTTGAGATCAAGTAATAAGTTTGAATCTTTATTTGGAATAATAACTATTGAATGCTTTGTGTTTGTGTATAGCTAAATATTAATTTCACGCTTAAGAGGTTTTGAATGATTTGCTTTTATGAAAGAGGCTATAGCTAGAGGATTGTGAATTTAATTTACAATATCATATATTTAGTAAGAATTGCTAAGAATTTATAAAGACAAATTTTTGAGATCAAATAATGTGAGTTTGGATCTTTATTTTGTATTAGATAAGTTGAAGCCTTTCCTCCATTAATTACTATTAACTGTGAGTATACATTTTGCGCAATACCAATAATTTTTCTTAATGCTTGTTTATATTATAACATTATCTTCGAACATATCTCCTTATCGTATTTGCATGAAATAACACCTATGAGTGTTATTTCAGATCACAAGTAAATAATTAATTTAGCCAAAGAATTTTAATAACAAAAATTATAATTTTCATTCAGCTGAATTAATTATTAGCTCGTATTCTGAAATAATGCCCATGAGCATTATTTCGCACAAATATGGTAAGATGTTTGAATTCCACATCAGTGAATTTTAATAATATGTAAATGCTTTAAATTCACACAACATCCCAAGTATTAATAATTTGTTCAGGCAATTTTTTTCAGTATACGTTCATGAGATTTGTAAACTATTCTCAACTAACTGCCTTAAGATTCAATTGCATTTATTGCGATTTATTAGATATATTAATTCGATTTTATTTAGTGGTATCAGATTTACTCATTTGGTCAACTCATAAACAATCAGTTCACGGACAACTTACAATTAAATTATAGGCATGATTATAATTAATTCAAGTTCATTTCATAAACTGTTTATTTCACTGAAAGCTCATTCACAAACTAAGTAATTTTATTTATTACCATTAGAATTAGGTTTAATATTAAAGTTGATGCAATCTATAAATAAAATTGTCTATGAAATAAGCTGTTAGTGAGATATATTGTCTATGAATTAAATTTGTCTATGAATTAATCATCTGTAAAATAATCCTAATTGCCTATAAATTAAGTTGCCTGTAAAATAAGCTATTGTGATATACAAATCTATATAAAATTATTTTTATATATCGATATTTAAATTACAAATTTTAATTTATCTACTGTTATTGTGTAATTACTATATCAGACTCAAACATGTTTGCAAACTTCGGGCCAAACTTCAAACTGAACCAGACTGGAGAAAAAAGTTTGAAATCGAACCTGGACCGAATCTAGATTAAAAATAGTTTGAGTTTGAGTTTGATTTGAAAATCAAACTGAACTCAAACTTAATTAAAGTTTGGTTCGAGTCTGGTTTGTAGGAGCACTAGTTGCTATCATAAAAGAGGATCATAATCTGGAGAAACTAGCAGTATTGCCAAAAGTCAAGGTAATAGTCCAAATTATCCATAGATTCTTGTAACTTTTGGGCTTTACCAAATATAAATTCCTTAAATATATTATTAGGAAAGAGGTTTTTTGAGCTAGATGAAGTAATACTTTCTTCTGATGTTGATGATTATATATTCATATATTGATGAAGTTGGAGTCTACATTCATTAATGGTATCATTACGAACTTTTTCATTTGTAAAAGCCATCTCTTTTAGCCAGGGTTTAATAAAGTGGAAAGAAAGCAAGTTTGTGATGGGTGATCCCAATATTCAAAAAGTGAGTTGTAAATAATATTTTGTATTTCTTTTATAATTAATTCAAAGTTATTATCAAATTGATCTTCTTGAGCATTAAAGGATATGTTACTTTCTTCTTCTTCATCGGATGAATCAGACTCTGAATCATAATTAGGTGTCATTTGAAGGTCTAAAGTATTTAATATCAAATAAATATGATAAGTATACGTTAGTTAAAACTAAAATTTTGATATAACAAATAGGTCTTTTCTAAAAACAATCTTATAAAGGTATAGTAGTTATTTTAAAATTATTTTCAAGGAAAAAACCTAAAATGCTTTTAATTATTCCCTAGCAAATCCAATTTATGTAACTTTTTTTATATACATATTTCTACAAGACATTTATCTATTTAATTTCGATAATTAAATATAGATATTATATTATTCTATTTATATTAAAAAATATCAGAAATAGCATATGAAATAATGATTTCATTCTAAAATAAGTGCATGAAACTTATGTTGTATGGATAGCAGGAAATAACCAGTTATATTCTAGATAGTTGAAATTTTGTAGTAAAGTACTATAGAATTGCTGCGTAAGTGGCCAATTACACTTTACTGCAAAATTTTGTTTACTCAGGATATAACCATTATTATTGGCATGCTATTGTAAATTTCTTAATTATTAATATTAATTTAAAATATTATACCTTCATTGTTATTATTTTCATATTCATTAACATCTATATCTTTTGTATAATTAACTTTCATTACCTCTATTAAAGGATGAATAGATGCTATAGTAGGATATTTCATGCTACTAAAATATTTAGTAGCACTATTTAAAGGTTCTAATATTTCAACTAGTTTTTGAACAAAGTTCTATTCATCCTCTTGTAGCATCATTGTTTGTAATTTTTGACTATCTTTTCATGCATCTGGATTTTCTTGAAGAGGCAATATTGCTGAAAGCCATCTGATTGCAGAATGCAGCTCAAGTAACCTTTTCTATAATCGAAATTTAAAAT